TTATGAAATAGCACCTGTGAGGAGGTGATTACTGTTAAATGAGGTCATAAGGGTGGGGCCCTAATGCAATAGCACTGGTGTCCTTATAAGAGAAGGAAGAGACAGCAGGAGTGCTTGTGCCCAAAGTAAAGGCCATGTGAGGACACAGCAAGGCCCAATCAGACTAAGACACAGCAGCATCTCACAACCAAAATCTATATTAATTTCCGGTGGTTCCTGTAACTAATTGCCACAAATTTAGTGGCTTAAAATATAAGAAATCTGCCTTAGCCGGTTTGGCTCAATGGATGAAGGGTCAGCCTGTGGACTGAAGGGTTCCAGGTTCGAATCTGGTCAAGGGCGCATGCCTGGTTGCGGGCTTGATCCCCAAAAGGGGGCATGCCAGAGGCAGCCTATCAATGATTCTCTCTCATCATTGATGTTCCATCTCTCCCTCTCCCTTCCTCTCTGAAATCGATTAAAAAAATTTTTTTAAAAAGAAATCTATTCTGTCATAGTTCTGGAAGCGTGAAATCCCAAATCAGTTTCATTGGGTCAAAATGAAGGTGTCAGCAAGGCCATACTCTCCCTAGAAAATCGAGGGGAGAATCTGTTCGTTGCCTCTTTCAGCCTCTGGTGGTTGCTGGCATTTCTTGGCCTGAGCATCACTACACTCTCTGCCTTCAAAGTCGCATTGCCTTCTCCTTTTCTGCCTGTCACATTTGCCTCTGCTTTCCTCTTTAAATAAACTTGTGATTACAATTTGGTCCCATTCAGATAATCCAGGATAATATCCCCAGCTCAAAACTCTTCATTTAATCACACCTGCAATCCGTATAAAGTAACATTCACAGGTTCCAGAAACTTGGACATGGGCATCTTAAAAAAGAATTTTCTTGTATTATAATTTTTAAAAATTTATTGATGAGAGAAAGAGAGAAAGAGAGGAGAGGAGAGGAGAGGAGAGGAGAGGAGAGGAGAGGAGAGGAGAGGAGAGGAGAGGAGAGGAGAGGAGAGGAGAAAGAGAGAGAGAGAGAGAGAGAGAGAGAGAGAGAGAGAGAGAGAGAGATTTGTTGTTCCACCTATGCATTCATTGATTGATTTTTGTATGTGCCCTGACCCGTATCAAACCAGCAACCTTGGCATATGGAGATGACTCTGAGCTCCCTAGCTAGGGCAGAGGACATGGACATCTTTGGGAGAGTCATTCGTCAGCCTACCATACCATCCTATGACAGTTAACAACTCTACTCCTTCAACTCCCTTAAAGAAGACCAAACTCTATCTGTAAACACTCACTGTCTTCCTATATCCCTCCAATGGCACCCCAAATCATCTTCCAATCCCAACTCTATTCCCAATTTACCCTCTAATAGCTACCACCTGCGTTCTTAAATGGTCCTCTGCAGTCCCATTCCTCCTGAAGATCTTCACATGATCATTTAGTTGCATGAAAACTGTTCTGTAGTAGCCCCCAACCTTACCCCCAAGCCATCCTCACCACTCACATCTATCCCTAAATATCCCAGCCCCCAGTCACCATCCAATTGCCCTCTTTCTTTCCTCCATATCTCCCAATCACCCCACCCTGCTGTTGTCTCTCTCTCTCTCTCTCTCTCTCTCTCTCTCTCTCTCTCTCTCTCTCTCTCTCAATATATTTTTATTAATTTTTTACAGAGAGGAAGGGAGAGAGATAGAGAGTTAGAAACATCGATGAGAGAGAGTCATCGATCAGCTGCCTCTTGCACACCCCCTACTGGGGATGTGCCCGCAACCAAGGTACATGCCCTTGACCTGAATCGAACCCGGGACCCTTGAGTCCACAGGCCAACGCTCTATCCACTGAGCCAAACCGGTTTCGGCCCTGCTGTTGTCTCTTAATGAAACCCCAGCTGCATGAGAAAAGGAGAGAGAGAGGGCGGGAGGGAGGGAAAGGGAGAGAGGTGTTCAAAAAAGGTGTGAGCGAGTAAGAGATTAAGAGAGAAGGGCTGAGAGAAATGGAGGATGGGTTTATTGTGCAGGATATGTGATGGGGGAAGCACTTAAGGAAACATTTTGGATGTGTATATGAAGCTCATGTTTATAGGATTGAGGTGTGTTAAGGATAATTAACCTGTAGATCTAATGCTGTAATTTTCCCTCCCACTTCGCCACAAGTCTTTTTTTTAAAATTTTTTATTGATTTCAGAGAAGAAGGGAGAGAGAGAGATAGAAACATCAATGATGACAAAGAATCACTGATTGGCTGCCTCCTACATGCCCTCTACTGGGAATCTAGCTTGCAACCCTGGTATGTGCCCTTGACTGGAATCGAACCTGGGACCCTTCAGTCCACAGGCCGACACTCTATCCACTGAGCCAAAACAGCTAGGGAGAGAGAGAATTATTGATTGGCTGCTTCCTGCACACCTCCTACTGAGGACTGAGCCCACAACCCTGGCATGTGCCCTGACTGGTAATCCAACCATGATCTCTTGGTTCATGGGTGGATGCTCAACCTCTGAGCCACACCAGCTGGGCTACAAATTCCATTTGGATTTTTTTTTCTTTATTGATTAAGGTATTACACATGTGTCCTTAACACCCTCCCCCCCACTCATGCCCTCACCCTGCCCTGGTGTCTGTGTCCATTGGTTAGGCTTATATGCATGCATACAATTCCTTTGGTTGATCTCTCTCCCTTACCCTCATCCTCCCCTACCTTCCCTCTGAGATTGGACAGTCTGATCAATCCTTCTCTGTCTCTGGATCTGTTTTTGTTCATCAGTTTATGTTGTTCATTATATTCTATAAATGAGTGAGATCATGTGATATTTATCTTTCTCTGACTGGCTTATTTCACTTAGCATAATGCTCTCCAGTTCCATCCATGCTGTTGCAAATAGTCAGAGTTCCTTCTTTTTTATAGCAGCAGAGTATTCCATTGTGTAGTTGGAGCACAGTTTTCTAATCCACTCATATGTTGATGGGCACTTAGGCTGTTTCCAAATCTTAGCTATTGTAAATTGTGCTGCTATAAACATAGGGCTGCATATATCCTTTCTGATTGGTGTTTCTAGTTTCTTGGGATATATTCCTAGAAGTGGGATCACTGGGTCAAATGGGAGTTCCATTTTTACTTTTTTGAGGAAACTCCACTGTTCTCCACAGTGACTGCACCAGTCTGCCTTCTCACCAGCAGTGCACAAGGGTTATGCTGGTGAGGATGCAAAGAAAAGGAAACCCTTGTGCATTTTGGAATTTAGTGGTAATGTATTAATTTTTCAAAAGTTTATTTATGGCCAGAACTGGTTTGGCTCAGCCTGCAGACTGAAAGGCCCCAGGTTCGATTCCGGTCAAGGGCACGTATCTTGGTTGTGGGCACATTCCCAGTAGGGGGCGTGCAGGAGGCAGCTGATTGATGTTTCTCTTTCATGGATGTTTCTAACCCTCCCTTCCTCTCTGTAAAAAATCAATAAAATATTTTTTAAAGTTTATTTATGGAGGAATTGTCTTTATTATGTGGAAACAATTTTGTGTGAGCCTGTAGGGATGTTCGTGTTGACCAAGTCAACTTGTCATGTCAGGTGCCAATACCAAAAGGTGCGAGACAAGTAGGAGCTCAGTGAAGTTCCCAGAGGTCCAGCGGATGGGCAGGATCTGGGGCTGTTGGAAAGAAGGAAGAGAAGGTTGTGGATCCAGGAGTTCTGTGAGCTGACTGTGCACCTGACAGTACGGATGGAACCCTTCCCTGAGTGCAAGCAGGCTTGCATGTATCTGGCACACAAAGGAGCTGAACAAATGTTTGGTGAATCAGTGCACAATGGAATGAATCCATTATTTTTTGGAGAGCCTATTGTGTGCCAAACAACCTGCTACCTACTCTCCATAAATGCTCCCTAATCCTCACAACTCTGCCAGACAGTTACTATGACTCCAATTTAACAGGTCAGGAAAGCAGTGGCTCAGAGAGGAGAAGTCCCTTGCCCATATCCAAACCCTGGTCTGTAGATTCCATTAGTCATTCCCCGAAAGGATCAGATCTAATTTCCACCCTTCCATTCATTCATCCATCTGTCAAGGATTTATTAATCTATGTCATGTTGATTTTTTCTCTTTAATGCTCAGGAGCCCAGGGAAGAGTTAGGTTCAGGGCCTCAGGACTGGTAGGGTTAAGCACCTATAGTGTAACCCAGAGACTTAGGACAGCTGCCCCAGTGCCATAGAGTAGGGGAGCACTCACTTGAAGACCAGCTGAGTGGCTGGACTGTGGGTACCGAAAGTGCGGGGTTTCTGGTGCATGTCTCCAGGGTAGGGTATGTAGCTGCCTAGGGCTAGGCCAAGTAGTTATTATGGCTTTGGCTAGATGGAGGCTAAAGCCAGGTCTAGGAAGCCGATGTTAGGACATTGGCCAACAGGGGGCGCAGTTTTGCAGCTAGAAATGTGGCCTGAAAATCTGGGCACCTACTGGCCATCCTTGCGCAGGCGCAGAGAACCCAAAAGAGAGGCTTATTGGCCAACCCGAGGGATAGGTTCAGAAGAGAAGGCGTGGCTTAATTAATTACCTCTTGCTGATTTGCTTCTATCTCTGTGGGCGCGGCCTCGGCTACCTTCTCTGAATGAGGGCCGGCCAATCTAGTTTTCCTTTGCATCAGGGGCGTGGTTTAGGGCGGGCTCTTGAAGCAGCCCTAGTTGATTGGCCACCTCGCTCCGAGGGCAAGCCGGGAGAGCTGTCCATCTTACTTGCGCTCACTTCCTGTGGAGTTTCCCCAGCTCAGGGAGGAGGGGGAAAAGGACGAGGGGGAGGAGGGCGGTCGTCCGGGGTTAGGATCTGAGGTTGGGGGGGGTGGTGTTGGTCCGTTCAGGGCGGGGGATGACTCACAGCCCAGCCCATCTCCCCGACGTCGCCCGCCCGCGCAGAGCTCGCTCCATGGCTTAGCGGAGGAGGCGGTGGCGAGCAGGGGGAGGGGGACTCTTATTTTGTTAGGGGGACCGGGCTGAAGCCCGACCGGCCTGGCAGGGCTCGCCCGGGGCCGGGCGTCATGTCTCATGTGGCCGAGCCAGCTCGGGACGGCGGCGTAGAGGCCAGCGCGGAGGGCCCTCGAGCCGTGTTCGTGCTGCTGGAGGAGCGCAGGCCGGCCGACTCAGCCCAGCTGCTCAGGTGCGGGGCGCTTGGGGCCAGAGTGCGGACTGGGGTTCCCGGGGGGTGGGGGGCTGATTTGGATGCATTAGGGGCTGGGATTGGAGGGCCTCGGCCTAGGGTTGGAGGACTTCGGGGCGCCCGTCTTGGGGGGGCACCTAAAGAATCCGGCGGTGGCCTGCTTGGACCGAAGCTTCAAAAGAGTCCTGGAAGTGCCTTCAGGAGAGCCTGGTTCAGATGGGGGGCGCGGGCAGATTGACCGGGTCTCTAGAGGGACTTACTCTGATGTGTCCACAAACAGGTCTAATCAGAGGCTGAGTTTGGGGTCCTGGAGTCGGGCATGAGGGGGTGAAGTTGAGGGGGCGCTCTGGAGGTGAGGCGCTGATTTGCAGGGACTTTTAGCTCAGTGTCAGAGAAGGGTTTGTGGGGGACAGAGGTGCGATCTTGGGAGCTCGGTGGTTCTCAATGGCTGGTTGCTGGAGGCTGTGTTTGGGGATAGCATGAGTCTGGTTGGATTCGGGGGCGTCTCAGATAATGCTGCGTGAGACCAGCCTTGTGCGTGTGTGTGAGCTAAAGCAGCAGCATTCAGCAAGACTTGACCGGAATAATCTCTTCACTCCTTACTATCGACCCAACTGGATCAGATCCCAAGGAGAGTGAAAAAGCCCCCCCCCCCTTCACTGGGGCTTGAATGGGAGACGGGCAGACACAGAGGTGATGGAGATGGTGCTATTTCTTGAGGAAGGGACCCAGTGGAGGGTCTTGTTCCTATTGCCACTTGCCCTAGCCCCTTAGCAAGCCAACCTCTGCTCACTCCACACACACACACACACACACACACACACACACACGCTTGCGCACGCATGTTCCTTTTATCTCGCCCTCCTAGTCTATCCCTCAGACCCCGGGATGATCTGGAATCTGTCACCAGAGCTGGACCGAGCACCAATTGCACCATCCCTATCTGGGTGGGTCCCATCCTCAGCGGCCTCGGAAGCCCCAGCCCCCATTTCTCCCAAGTTCTGTGCAATGGGTGTGTAAGCATTGGGGGGGGGGGGGGGGGGCTTGAGCCACTTGCTGCCTGGAATTGTGCTGAGCTCCGCGGATCCTGGAGCTTCCTCTTCCCCAACTTCCTGGGTGGTTTGAGGGCCCCGTCTGAGGGTGAGGAAAGGAAGGAAGACAGATCTTTGGGGAGGGCAGAAAATTCTTGCCAAGTGAAGTCACCCTCAATCTCAGCATTCTGAATCTTCCACTACACTCAAGGATGAAGAGCCATCCGCATGCATGATTAGGTTCCTCGCACCCTGGGGTCTTGACTCCCATCCTGGAGGCCTGAGCAGGACCCTTGGCGTGTCTTTGGGTGCCTCTCCGACAACTAGATCCTCACAGAGTTGGGAGGGAGGGGGTTACATGACTTGGGTGTCCGTGGGAGTTGGTATCGGAGGCGGGCACCTTTTGATCTCGGCCCAGGAAACTGGCGAGTGGTGGGCCGGCTCACGTGGCCAAGAAGAGAGCTCACGTAAAGTGGCTCTCCCACCAAACGCTCCCTCTCGTAAATCCAGATCACGGCTCCGAGGGCAGCCTTTGATGTTGCCATCTTGCATCTGGGTATGTGTTGGCATCCCAGGAACTCTGGCTGGGGAGGGGGGTGGGGAGATTCATTTGCAAAGTGGCAGACCCTTCTCTAAAGCGAATTGTTGACCCGGGTCCTCTTTGTGATGCGCTCCGTCGGGGTCACAATGGGCTGTTACCCTGGGGGGTGCCCCTTCTGTGGACAATGTGGGCTCCCATCCAGCAGCCTGAGAAACAAGAGGGGGCGCGGGGGGGGGGGAGGGGGGGAAGGGGGGCTGGGAGAGCTCTGAATGCAAAGCCAGGAGGCCCGCGAAGTGAATCTGGCCTTCCCAAACTCCTCATTTGCATTTTCCTCCAGCCCAGGTTGTGAGCGTTGGAGCACAGTCTGAAGGGACTGTGGGTAACAGCAGCAAGAGATAATGGGGAGGAGGAGAGGGCGTGGGAACTGCTGCCCAGCTCAGTGGCCGAACGTTAGAGATACACTGTTTTCCTTCTTATCTCTCCCCCCGCCCCCACCGCCTCTCTTTCTCTTACTTGGAGAAAATCGAGGTCTCCATACAATAACTGACCACCACCCCTACCTCACCCTCATCCTCAGCCTGAACTCTCTGCTTCCGGAATCCGGGATTGTTGCTGACATCGAATTAGAAAACGTCCTTGATCCGGACAGCTTTTACGAGCTCAAAAGCCAGCCCCTGTCACTACACTCAAGGTAATGTCTCCTCCGACGCCTCTCCCGATTCCTCAAGGGCCCTCGGTTCCCCCTGGCTGGGCAGTGGCCCTCGGGGGCGAGCCCAGCCCGTTCTCCCTCCCCACCAGTTTGTATTTGCCAGTCAGTAAAATAAGGGGCCAGGAGTAAAATAAGGGTTATGGGAAAGCAGGTGGCCACAGTAGGATTCTACTATCTCAGACTAGACCTCAGCTGCCTTCCCCAACCCCACCTGCGTGCCCATTCATTCACAGACATGGCTGCAGCATCGCTCAGTGCCCAGAGACTGGGTGTGGCTTGCTCTAGCTCAGTGCCCAGATAGGCCGAGCCGTGCCCACAACCCCGGCTCACCCCTCCCCCACTCACCAGGCTCCCCCACCCCCAGTCCTGAGGAACCCCTGCTGCTCTCTTCTTTCCCCAAGCTGGGGAAGTCTAAATGTGCTGAGTCATGGGCTTGGGCTCTAAGCGAGGGGAGGGGACCTGGAAGAAGGGCGGGAAGAGAGGATTGTGAAATTTCTGAGATTTTCAAGACTGAGGAGCTCCTGGGACTAGAGGCCCAGGCAAGGGAGGAAGGAGGTACTGCGATTGTCCTGTGGCCCGATGCCCACCCCCAGGAGGTAAGGGGGCACCTCCAGCCCCAAACTGAGCTCCAGAGCCCTCTGCTTCCACCGCCACGGCCTCCCTTAAAGAGGACAGAGCCCCTTGCCCAGCCACACGGTGGCATGTCTGCTCAGGAAAGGAACACACCCAACTTGAGACTTCCCTGTAAGGAATGATGGCACCCCCCCCACCAGACTGACCCCTGAGGGCTTCTACCAGGCCTGGCTCCTGCGCTTACTCTGTCCCGTTAGGCTCGGGACGAGACTTTTAGCTTACTTGTGGCCCCGTATCTCCCATTCCACAGCCTCCCAATATCACTGCAGGCCACACCAGCCACCCCAGCTACACTGTCTGCATCATCTTCTGCAGGGGGCTCCAGGACCCCTGCCATGTCCTCTTCTTCTTCATCGCGGGTCCTGCTGCGGCAGCAGCTCATGCGAGCCCAAGCCCAGGAGCAGGAGAGGCGTGAGCGTCGGGAACAGGCTGCAGCCTCTCCCTTCCCCAGCCCTGCACCTGCCTCTCCTGCCATCTCTGTGGTCGGTGTCTCTGCCGGGGGCCACACGTTGGGGCGTCCTCCCCCTGCTCAGGTGCCCCGGGAGGTGCTCAAGGTAAGGCTCAGGGTCCCTGGGGTGACTTGTAGCTGGGGTCCCGGAGCCCTGAGGAAGTCTCTGGGTGCTGTGAAAGTAGGCTTTGCTGGTGTCCCATTGTGTTTAGGGGTGCTCAGATTTTCTCGTGGAATTGTGAGGGGCTCTTGGTGGGCCATGGAGGGTAGCGAGCCCCCCAAGTGGGCCCTAGGGTCCATGGAGTGGCTTTGGAGGAAGAGCTGCATATGTTGCGTTAGTTCTGTAGCTTTTGGATGTCTTGGGAAGCAATATGTAGATCCTGGGTATCAGAGACAAGGGTGGAGTCTTGGGGACTGTGACAGAGGGGGCTCCAGAGACCGAGGGGTTCGACCATCTGTGGATGGACCCTAGGGGCTGTGAGGGGTGTTCAAGAAAGGGAATTTGGGTGCCGGGAGAGACTTACCAGTATTGGGGGGGTTCTCAGATTCTGGGCCCGGTTTGCCCACCGGTACCTCTCTGAACCCTGTTCTACCTTGTCCCCTCCTGTCCCTCCTTCCCTTCCACAGGTGCAGACACATCTAGAGAACCCGACACGCTACCACCTGCAGCAGGCCCGCCGGCAGCAGGTCAAACAGTACCTGTCCACCACACTCGGGCCCAAGCTGGCTTCCCAGGCCCTCACCCCACCCCCGGGGGCTGCGAGTGCCCAGCCGCTCCCGGCCCCCGAGGCCGCCCATGCTACCGGCCCTACAGGCAGCGCCCCCAACAGCCCCATGGCACTGCTCACCATCGGGTCCAGCTCAGAGAAGGAGGTACGTGCCTGCGGACCGCCCTCCGATGCTCCACCCTCCAACTTCAGCTGACCCTCCTCCATATGTACTTCTGTCCCCAGATTGATGATGTCATTGATGAGATCATCAGCCTGGAGTCCAGTTACAACGACGAGATGCTCAGCTATCTACCTGGAGGCACTGTGGGGCTCCAGCTCCCCAGCACGGTAAGCCCCCCCCCCCCCCCCCCCGCCCCTCCGCTCCGAGATGGGAAGTTGGTTTAACAACTTAGTGGATCCCTGGGTCACTGACTACCTCAGGATTGGCTATGTGTATAAGAGACCATGACCGTCACCTTGGATTGTACTAAGATAGAGAAGGAGACTAAGTGATGACAACGGGGCATAACAATGCCCTGAGACCTTTAGTTGGATTTCATGGAAAGGTACACCTTGTAGATTTTCTTTTTGTACGTGCCCTTGACCGGAATCGAACCTGGGACTCCCTCAGTCCACAGACCAACGTTCTATCCACTGAGCCAAACCGGTTTCGGCTATTTATTACTTTTTTTTTAATCCTCACCTGAGGATATTTTTTCATTGCTTTTCAGAGAGATGGGATGGAGGAAAGGAGGGAGGTAGGGAGGGAATGGGAAAGAGAAAAATCAACTGGTTGCCTCCTGCACACACCCCAATCAGGCTGGGGATGGAACCCGCAGCCTAGGTTCATTTCCTCGACTAGGAATCTAATCCGTGATCCCTCAGTGTGCGGACCCCCTAACAGCAGAGCCACACCAGCCAGGGCAAGATGGGGGGCTCTGTTAGCCTTTTGAATGTACCGAGAGACTGAAACAGCAAAAGTCTCAAAACCCGGCGTGGTTGGACCTTGAACCGTGGGGAGAGGCTGGGGCCTGGCAGAGTGGATAAAACTTAAAGCAACAAATATACCAAAATATTGTAACATTCTGCTTCTCAAACATTCCAGGGTCCTATAACTTGTTTCAGGGCATACCAAGCGGCTATTGTTTTGTTTCTTTCCAACTTACCAAGAGGGTAGAAGCATGCATAAGAATTATACCAGTTCACTAGAACACTGTGTTGATTTGGACTGGGCTAGAGATTAGTCTCATATTAGATGAGTCCAGCAGATTGGTGAGGGTTTCAAGAGATGAAATGCTAGCGAGAGATGGGACTAATGACTTACAGATTAGGATGTTGCCCCAGGAAGTATGCAGGGGAGGGCAAAGGGGAGGAAACTACAGAGGCGGACATGACAGCAGTGCTAGTTGTGAAGTTGGACAGGAAATCCTGGGAGGTCAGAACATGCAAGAAGGTACTTGTGTCGGAGCGTTGGCTGGTGCATGGCAGCTCGAGACTATGGATGTAAGGTGGTGCGACGCAGTCACAGCAAAAGCTCGGAGATTGGGCCAGGACTCTGGAAGGCCAGATTTGGGGTGGCCCGTTGCGATGACAATTTCCCAAAGTCTGAGAAGATTGGGTTGGAGTGTTCCAAGAATACCAGATTGGGATATCATGCTGGGACGGGGAGGGGTTGGGGGTGCTAATGGACTGACATGTTCGATCAGAGTCCACAACGACGTAAGGGTGGCTTTGTGGCATTTCTTCTCTGAGAACCAGCCCCAGGGTTCGGGGGAGGGGCTTCAGAGCTCACGGGTGGGGGGGGGGTTGATTTGAGGGGTCGCAGGGGTCATGCTGAACAGGCCAGGCAGGCTCTCGTCCCCGGCAAAGCAGGGTAGGTCCATTTGATGCTATCCTCCCTTCTTTTTTTTTTTTTTTAAATATTCATACTTTTTAAAATATATATATATATATTTCTATTGATTTCAGAGAAGAAAAGAGAGGGAGAGAAGATATAGAAACATCGGTGATGAGAGAGAATCATCGATTGGCTGCCTCCTGGGGATGGAGCCCACAACCCGGGCATGAATGCAAATTGAATGTGACCTCCTGGTTCAAGGTTGACACTCAACCACTGAACCACACCGGCCTTATTGAGTCACCATGTGAAATTCCCTTGAAAGAGAAGATTCCTGTACTGAGTCAGCCAATCCTTGCACTAAGGGGCGTGTCTTTGGGATGTGTGGAGGGGTCAGGAGCCTGGTTCTAGGATGGTACCAAGCCTGGGGTCTGTTGCCAATTATCCTTCCTCTGCCATGCCCGCCCGCAGCTGCCTGTGTCAGGGAACCTGCTGGATGTGTACAGTAGTCAGGGTGTAGCGGCACCCGCCATCACTGTCAGCAACTCCTGCCCAGCGGAGCTGCCCAACATCAAACGGGAGATCTCCGGTAAGTGCCAGGGGTGGGGTGGGTCTGGTTCTGGCGGGAAGCGGTTAAGCAGAGAGAAATGGGAACTCATTGCCCTCTTTCCCCACGTGGCCCATGGGGCTACTCTCATCCCACTGCCTCTCACCTTGGGTTTAACCAATGGCCCATCACCATGGCTTCTTGAAAAAATAGCAAGAAGAATGGCATTTTTTGTTAATTCTCACCTGGGGATATTTTTTCCCATTGACTTTTAGAGAGAGTGTGTGGAAGGGAGGAAGCGATAGAAACAGAGAGAAACATTGATGTGAAAGAGACATATTAATTGGTTGCCTCCTGCATGCACCCTGGCTGGGGCCGGGGATGAAACCTGCAATCCAGGCACTTGCCCTTAACAGGGAATCAAACCCACACCCCTTGGGCCGATGCTCTAACCACTGAGCACACTGGCTAGGGCAAGAGTGGCATTTTCTTAAAAATATATTTTTACTGATTTCTGAGAGGAAGAGATAGAAACATCAATGCTGAGAGGGAATCATTGATCGGCTGCCTCCTGCAAGCTCCCCACTGGGGATTGAGCCCGCAACCTGGGCATATGCCCTTGACCGGAATCAAACCTGGGACCCTTCAGTCCGCAGGCTGACGCTCTATCCACTGAGCCACACCGGCTAGGGCCAGAGTTGCATTTTTAAAAAGGTCGTTTCCCCTGCATGTGCCTGCCAAAGCCCCCCTCAGCAACACACACTGCCCTCCTCCTTTCCCATGCCCAGGGGCCCTGACCACCTCCACTCTCTTCCAGAGACGGAGGCCAAGGCCCTTCTGAAGGAGCGGCAGAAGAAGGACAATCACAACCTGAGTGAGTGAGAGCGTATGCCCTTGCCACTGTGCTCGGCAGCCCCGTCCCGCTCTGTGCCCCGGCCTGCCTTGGGGGATCCCAACGCCCCAATGTCTCCTCTTCCCTCCTCTATTGATGACTCTCTCCCACTTCTGTTTCCCCCTCCTCCAAAGTTGAACGTCGCAGGCGCTTCAACATTAACGACAGGATCAAGGAGCTGGGCACCCTCATCCCCAAGTCCAGTGACCCGTGAGTCTGGCTGGGAGCTCCAGGCGCTAGGAAGATGGGGCGGGGGACCCTGCTCTCCTAAAGCCATTCCCAAGGGGGCCTCCCTGGGTGGGAAGTGCCCAGCAGCTCTGCTCCTCTGGCCCCTTCCCCTTCATCTCTTCACCCCGAGCCAGCTCCTCACCACGACTCCACGTACAAGTTGAGGTGCATGATTTTAGGATCTGGACGCCTCATCAGGCCCCTGTGGGACAGAGGCACTTAGGTTCCTGTCTAGTTCGTGCTTCCTGTCTTTATTCAGAAAATATTGAGCTTCTGCTTTGGACCAGGTACCGAGCTAGGCCCTGGGGCGGCCACAGGGAATGAAACAGCCAACAATCCCTGACCTCACAGAACTGATCATTTAGTGGGGGCAGCCAAACAGCAAGCAAGATAAATAAGAAAAGTCCTTGCAATTCTGATGAATGTTGTGGAGAAGAATAAAGAATGGGAGGAAGATGAGGGGGTTTGGGGGGATGGTTATAATTTGGCGTGAGGACCGAGGAGACAGAATAGGCCTCCATGAACAAGAGCCATGTGACTAAGCAGCCACAGGAGGAGAGGCAGGAGTGCCCGGGGGAAGAGTGGTCCAGGAGGAGGGCAGAGCTGGGCTGATAGCCCTGCGGTGGGAATGGGTCCCCATGTCCTGGGAGCGCCGAGAAGCCAGAGCAGCTGTAGTGAGATGCATCCGGGTCAGAGGCGAGAGGAGCAGGAAAGGGACAGGTCAGCGATGGCTTCCGGGCTTGGAAGGTTCCAGGCAGGGGATGAACATCTTATACCCTTGCAGTACCCCCCACCTCAAGTCCTAGGCCTGGGGTGGGGTGCTCCATCTACCTGGTGCACCAACCCAAGATCCCAGAGACTCCACGCACAGCTCTCCCTCTCTCCTTCCCCTGGGCCGCACAGGGAGATGCGCTGGAACAAGGGCACCATCCTCAAAGCCTCTGTGGATTACATCCGCAAGTTGCAGAAGGAGCAGCAGCGCGCCAAGGACCTGGAGAGCCGCCAGCGGTCCCTGGAGCAAGCCAACCGCAGCCTGCAGCTCCGAATCCAGGTCTGGGAGGGGAGGAGGTGGCGGCCGGGGGGGGGGGGCTTCCTGCAGGCAGAGGCAGAGGAAGAACAGGCCACAATTTCCCCTCCGGGAATACTCGGGAGATCCCAGGGCTTCCCGACTCCCGTGATGATGATGATGGTGATGGTGATGATGGTGGTGATAAGTAGTAATCATAACGTTAAAAAGAATGCTGATGGATATTGGCGAGTGTGCATTGCGTTTATCTTGTGCCATGCACTGTGACAAGAGCCTTATGTCCATTTACTAAGGGAATCGTCACAAGAGCCCAGTGAGGCAGGGACCGGTGTTATACCCATTTTACAGATTGGGACGCTGAAGCTCAAATTTGAGGCAGCCTGCCTAAAGTTACGTAACTAGCGAGTGGTAGAGGTTGAATGGGAGCCTAGACAACCCAGCATCCTATCGGTGACATCCTCTGCCTCTGAGGGGCTCTGAACTCCATCTTATCCCACACCTCCCCCCTCCTTTTTGCAGGAGCTGGAACTGCAGGCTCAGATCCATGGTCTGCCGGTCCCTCCCACCCCAGGGCTCGTCTCCCTGGCCACGACTTCAGCCTCTGACAGCCTCAAGCCAGAGCAGCTGGATGTTGAGGAGGAGGGCAGGCCGGGTGTAGCAACGTTCCACGCAGGGACGGGCCCTGCCCAGGGTGCTCCCCATCAGCAGCCCCCAGTGCCACCCTCAGACACCCTTCTGGACCTGCACTTTCCCAGCGACCACCTGGGGGACCTGGGAGACCCCTTCCACCTGGGGCTGACGGACATTCTGATGGAGGAGGAGGAAGGGGTGTTGGGGGGACTGTCGGGAGGTGCCCTGTCCCCATTGCGGGCTGCCTCTGACCCCCTGCTCTCTTCCGTGTCCCCCACTGTCTCCAAGGCCAGCAGTCGCCGAAGCAGCTTCAGCATGGAGGAGGAGTCCTGATCAGGCCTCACCCCTCCTCTGGGGTTTCCCCACCCAGAAAAGGAGGACAAGCCGAGAGGAGGCTCTGCCTTGCCCTCCCCCTCCCATGAGACTGCCCTGCCCAGGTGTTCCGGGGAAGAGATGGGGCCCCACCCCTATAACCAGGCAAGGAGGAGGAGTCCGGCACGCCCCACCCCTTTCCCACAGGCCCAGCCAGCGCCATGGCGTCCGGGCCTGTCTCCGGGAGATCACAGCATCTCCTTTGCCCAGTGGGATCCGCCCTCGCCCAGGTGAGGGAAGAAGACAGGATGAGGTCTGCCCCCATCCTCTGGGACTGTCCTAGCCAGTCCAGGGATAAGGGTATGTCAGGATCCGTTCCAGCCCCCTTCTTGTAGTGGCCAGTCTGCTCCATCCTGGCAAGGAAGAGGAGTCCAAATGATGGAGTTCCCAGCCTGGGGCTTAGGCCCTCCCCTTTCACCGTGATCCCTGCCCTGCCCAGGCCAGGAGCAGAATAAGGATGAGAGCCAGTCTATGCCCGTTCCCTATAGGAGCGGCCCAGCACCAGTATTTCTGGTATGGAGAAGTCCGCAGACCAGGCCGCCACACCACGTGGAGGTCACAGCCCTTATTCCTAGCAGCATCCCCGCCAAGCATTCCACTGCAGGGAGGAGGGCGCTTAGGCCCCTGCCTTAACCTGAGAGAACAGCTCTGAGCCGACCTTGCCCTTGGGAAAGGGGATCGATTTTGAAATCTCATGGGTTGACATTCCAGACCTAGATTAGAAGTGAGAGTTAGACCCCCTACCCTCGGGCAGAGTCCTGCCTCCTTCCTTGAAGGGCAGATTGGGGAGGTGATGGGGAGTAGGGGATACTGAGTCCAAGTCCCAGAACCAGCACCCATGACTTTTTTTTGCTGCATAGAGGAGCAGGACGAAGGAAGGGATCCTTCTGGGGGTCTCTCCAGGCCAAGAAAAAGAAGCATCTCCCACCCCAGGTGGAGGTTGGGGGAGGGGCTGTTAAATCCCGCACCCTTCTTTTGTTTATCTGATTTTTTACTGATCGCCACCCCTACTCAGAAGTTGATCACCCCAACCTCTGGCCTCTACCCAGTTCTCCGTTTGGAGGGCCCTTCCCCATTTCAGAGCTATCAACAGACACTCCCCACCCATCCTCACCCCTCCTGTAATGTCTATTCAAGATTGTCAGCTTTGGATTATTGGGGCCAAGTCCCAAGGATGGTGTACTGAGGGGTCTGTAGGTTTGTGATTAATAAATGCTAGGCGTGTTTGATGCGCTTTTAACTTTGGCAAAGTCTCCTGTCCTTGCTTTTGACTGTGCAGCGAGCATGGCTCATGCAGGCCAGGAGGAAGGTTCTTGGAAGAAATAGATTTAAGCAGATGAAGGAATTTAACTAGAAATAAGGGCTGGAGGAAAGCAACCTGCAAACAAAAGCAATCAATCCACAGCTACCTGTCAGACACTCCTTACTGTTATTAAGAGCTTCACCTAATCTAAGGAATATTCAAGAAAGTGCTGATTCCTTTTTTAAAATACATTTTTATTGATTTCAGAGGGGGGGAGAGAGAGAAACATCAGTGATGAGAGCGAATCATTGGTTGACTGCCTCCTGCACATCCCACATTGGGGATCAAGCCTGCAACCCAGGTATGTGTCCTGACCAGAAATCAAACCAATGACCTCCTGGTTCATAGGTCGACACCCAACCACTAAGCCATGCCAGTTGGGTGAAAGTGCTGATTCTTTATATACATTGACTTCAGAGAGGAAGAGAGAGGTAAGACTCAGTGGATAGAGGATCGGCCTGCTGACTCAAGGGTCCCAGGTTCGATTCTAGTCAAGGGCATGTACTTTGGTTGTGGGCACATCCCCAGTGGGGAGTGTGCAGGAGGCAGCTGATCGGTGTTTCTTTCTAATCGATGTTTCTAGCTCTCTATCCCTCTTCCTTCCTCTCTGTAAAAAGATCAATAAAATATACCAAAAAAAAAGAAACATCAATGATGAGAGAGAATCATTGGTCAGTTGCCTCTTGGACATCCCACACTGGGGATCGATCCCAAAATCCAGGCATGTGCCCTGAACAGGAATTGAACCTGTCCTCCTGATTCATTCAACCACTGAGCCACACCAACTGGGTATAAAAGTGATGATTCTTATTTACTTTTTCTTCTACCTACCCCCCTGATTTCCATTCATGTTTAAAAACACAAAAGAATAGAATTTAAGTAACTATCTGAAGATATGCCACTGGTAAATGGATGAAGAAAACAGTCAAGTTAAGTGAGTGTGGGCTCTGGTTTGAAAAATGTCACTGAGGGCAGAGGAGGCAAAGATTTTCTCCCAAGTTGATTTTTGAAACTGATAAGGAGGTGTGAAGATATCTGATGGCAGAGAGCAGAGGCATTCCAGATGGGGTAAAGGGCAAAGACAAGGCATAGAAATCAGGAGCAGGCAAGAAATTCCATTTTGGAACAGATGTTGACATTTTGGGGGTATTTTATAAAAAAAAGGTGAACCGACACATCTTGAAGGCTAGGAAAAAATATTCCTGGAATTTCTCAACCAGTCTCTGACTCCCAGGATAGGCATTAGGTACGGTGTCTCCCCCAGCAGAGAACCCCTGATTGCCGGCACCCAATCTGGTCCTTTGTCTTCCCCAGAAGACTGAGCATACTACTTTCTAGCCTGTCATCACACTGTGACTCCTAATGCCTGGTTGTTGAATCTTCTACCAGGTTGGTGACTCCGATACCTTTTCTTTACTTTTTCTCCTTAAATTTGCTCTATTTATTTTATCTTTTTAAAGAAGTTTGTTGATTTTTAGAGAGAGAGAGAGATGAATGGACAGGGAGAGAGAGAGAGTAACATTGATGTTAGAGTACAATATTTACCTACTGCATCCTGCACACCCCCTACGGGGATTGAGCCCATGTGCCCTTGACCTGGAATGGAACCAGCAGCCTCCCAGTGCCAGGCACGATGCCCAACCAATTGAGCCACACTGGCCAGGGATATATTCGCTTTATAAAAATGACATAATGCCCAGAAGTGTTATTTTTAAAGTTTATATTCTGAAATAATTTTAGATTTATAGAAGAGTTGCAAAGACATTAGAGGGAGTTTCCATATCCCTCATTCAGCTCCCCCTAATGTTAGCATCTTACATAAACATGGAGCATTTATTGATGCGAAGGAAATAACATTGGCACAGTACTAGAAACTCAATTTAAGACTATTTAGATGTTACTGTTTTCCCCCCACAAATGTATTTTTTTCTGTTCTAAGATCCAAGTTAGGATACTCTATTTGTGATCTCTTTCTGTGGAATAGATTATCACAATATTAGTGGCTAAAGAACATGCATTCATTAACTCCTCTTTTGCGAATCAGAAATCCAGACTGGCTTAGCTCTATCCTTTACTCAAGTGGCTCCAACCAAGGTGCAATCAAGGAAGATGTTGGGTAGGATTAAGGACTCAATCTGAATGTGGGACTGGGGAAGGATCTTTTCTGAGCTACCACGGTTTATGGCAGGATTCCATTATCTCCAGTCTGTTGAACTGTGAGCCTCAGTACCTTGCTGGCTGTCATCCTGAGGTACCCTCAGTCATTGCCACGTGTGCTTTTCATACTAAGAGCCAGCAGCTTGCAGCATGGCAGTTTGCTTCATCAAAGCCAGCAAGTAAGAGAGTGATCAAAACAAGGTACAATCTCATGTAATCTAATCATGAAAGTGACATCCCCTTGATACCCAAGCATTCTGTTGGTTAGAATCAAATTACTCAAGGGGAGGAGGTTACAGAAGACTATGAATATTAGTCAGGGGTCAGTGAGAAGTCATCTTAGAAGCCCCTACCACGAATACCATATTGCATTTAGCTGTCATACCTTCTTGGTCTCAGACAGTTCTAATCTCTCCACTGAGACAGCCTAGACATTGTGTGAACACCGAAGCAACGAGCACATATAAGTACCCAGATCTTGGTTTCTAAATGCTATTACCTAATAAAAAGAATCGGGGCTTCTTGGAGAAATGGCTGATTTTAAGGCCAGGGTAGGAAAATACAATATGAGCCTGGAACATTGTGTAGTGCCAGAAAGTAAGAAAGTACACGCACAAAAAAAAGATGGCAGCATGTCATTCATAAGGCTACAGGAGCCAACTTGAAAGAGCTCCCAGTGGCCAAAGCTAGAACAATTTGAGCAACAACAAAAATGATAGTATTGGATTATAGTCAAAAAAAAAAAAAAGAAAAGAAAATAAATATTCATGATTTCATGATGTATAAACAAGGGATAGGATTGAATAAGTAAATGTTGGAGATGAGACAATTTCTCATGTAAGACTTCCAAATGATAAATATAGAAGGAATGAATGAGGGAAATAGAAAATGGCCATTAGAATACCACAGTAATAATTGTTGCAAATCTAATCCACCAAATGCTAAAAATTGTGGATAACACTTTAAGGTGAACACACTAGTTGCACAGCCTTAAAGTAGTGTCTCTAAAATATTAATACAGGCATAACTCAGAGATATTACAGGGTTGGTTCCAGACCACTGCAATAAAGAGTCATAATATTTTTGCTGGGGATGGTCTTGCTTTGAATTTATTTTAAAAATGCAATAAAGTGAAGTACAATAAAACAAGGTATTCTTTTGTCTAATTCTCTTCCCTCTAAGAGTTGGGCTTAATTCCCATTCTCATTTATTTTTTCAAAAATATTTTTATTGATTTCAGAGAGAAAAGGAGAGAGAGAAACACACACATCAATGATGAGAGAGAATCATCAATTGGCTGCCTCTTGCACACCCCTCACTGGGGATGGAGCCTGAAACCTTTGCATGTGCCCTGACCACGATTCTTCGAACCGTGACCTCCTGGTTCTTAGGTTGATGGTCAACCACTGAGCCACGCTGGCTACACCCCTTTTTTTCTCTTGATTATGAGCTGGATTCAGTGACTTGCTTCTAATAACAAGAGCATGGAAAGGGCAATAGT